TGCAGCAGAATTTTTTTTTGTAACCTTGGCCAGATCTGTGCCTTGCCACAATTGTGTCTCTGAGCTCTTCAGGCAGTTCCTTTGACCTCATGATTCTCATTTGCTCTGACGTGCACTGTGAGCTGTAGGGTCTTATATAGACAGGTGTGTGGCTTTTCCTAATCACGTCCAATCAGTATAATCAAACACAGCTGGACTCAAATGAAGGTGTAGAACCATCTCAGGGATGATCAGAAGAAATGGACAGCACCTAAGTTAAATATATGAGTGTCACAGCAAAGGGTCTGAATACTTATGACCATGTGATATTTCAGTTTTTTTAATAAATCTGCAAAAAGTCTGTGTTTTTCTGTCAATATGGGGTGCTGTGTGTACATTAATGAGGAAAAAAATGAACTTAAATGATTTTAGCATATGGCTGCAATATAACCACTACAGTCCTCCGCTCTACCAACTGAGCTATCAAAGGAGACACTGCAATATAACAAAGAGTGAAAAATTTAAGGGGGTCTGAATACTTTCCGTACCCACTGTACATGGCAAGAAAGAATAACAGAGGCTCTGAAGTTACAAGAACAGGAGGTAATGCCAAATGAGTTTTGTAAGCACCCAGGGCGGTACTAAAGGCTCAAATAACTAAGACACATGTGATATCATTGCATCATCTTTCATTCACTAGGCATGAACTTGCTCATCTAGGCTGTCCTGTACTTTTTCCATATTTGCCTGAAAATATCATAATAAACTAAACACACACACACAGTCTTTCAATTGAGCTAATAATTAGCCTATATGAGTACAACAATACGTTTCAATGCAGCAAAAGAAAAATTAATTACCTGGGTGTCTCTAAAGCAACAGGGACCCAGCTCGCTTGGCAACAGCAGACAATGTACACAATAAAGACTCAGACAAGTCGTATTTCAAACAATGTTATGTTTGATTATGACAGGAGGACAATGTATAAGTATAAAAAAATCACTGACAACTACAGAATTGTTCTATGTCATCACAATAATTAGTGTACATCATATTGACACAGTTATTGTAGTAGCTCAGATTATGACAACCCTGAGTTAAATTCTGCTAAGAGGAAAAATAACAACTATCTTTGAATACAGCAAAATTTGAACATTAAAGACTTATAGTTGCTTACACACTCACTCTCTGTAGCCATTAGTGTGGAACCACCAAAAGAACACTTGTTAAAATTAACATTTCATTATTTTTTTTAAAGAAAAACTTTCTGCTGTTTTGTTTTGTTATTTTACGCCTTGTCAGTAGAGCTATTCAGTGAAGGTGCTATACATTTCAATTTTTGCCCCACTGTACAGTGACAGCCTTTATTCACATACTGTACAGATCCATTTCATTTGTTACGATTCTCATAAGCTTTCAACTGTATAAGTGTACTTAGCACTGATAGGCGGGAATGCTGAATGGAGATGTTGCAATTTGCTTAACGTTCTTGGTTTACTGGGTTTGTTTATTGTGAAAATGTAGTCCAGCATTATAACAAAATGGTAAAATGAATAATAAAATAATAAAATAAACATCACCAGCATGATACTAACTATGAATTGGTTTAGAAGTCTGTGTTTTGGTATGATTCAAATTGTTTTGTCCTTTTAGATTGTATTGCAAGATGTTAAGCAGTCGGTGGAGTATATAATACTAGTGCCATAGCAGGACAAAAGGTTTCATTATCTCTGTCATTTCTGTATTTGAAAATTATTTTGCATTATAGTTATATCATATAATATATCACAGACTGTATATTTCAGATGTTTTACAATTGGTTACAGTACACTGATCATCAATACAAAAGTAAAAGGTCAGAAGGCACAAACTGGGGCTAGTTGCAAACAACAACAATAACAAAATCATTTTATATACTAAATGTAAAATCAAAATGACTAACAATATTCAATCAGATATCTAAATGAAGATGTGGCTCAGTCCTGACAAGCAAAGCTGGGTAGCCTGGTTCAATTAAGTACCAGACCAGGAGAGGTCACTGCTGTCCAGTTTACACTGGTGCTACTTTCAAATGCTGTTGGAATTCAGAGCCCTTGAACATTGATGACCAAAATACCATTGTAGAATGCTCAGTTTAACATCCATCCCAAAGCTTCCACTAATGACAAGTAAAGATGGAATGTATTTTAGGGTACTCCTTGCATTACTATTTAGCTGACTTCAGTTCAAGATCTAGTTAGGCTATTATACAAATATAGCCTATAGGTGATTTATTACTCCATCTGTTTCCTGTGTCATCTCCCAGTGTCAGTACATTTTGCAAGATAATGTCCATTAGATGCTTCTGTACAGATGTTTTTACACCACAAAGTATGTGCTTCTAAAAATAGAAATACTAGCACTCAGTGTCACACAGCAAGGTTTTATTTCATATGGGACAAACTGCTATGGTGCCCCCAGTCACTGAGTCCACAATAAAATCCGATGATGGTGAAGTAGATCACAAATAAAGTAGGCTCGTATTTTCTTTACCCATGTTATGCTGATAGTGGTAGTAGTAGGAAAGCTGCCTCCATCCTCAAAGACCCCACCCACCCCCAGCATGGACTGTTCACCTCCCTACCCTCTGGCTGGAGGTTCAGAAGTGTGAAATGCAGGACCATTAGACTGAAAAACTCTATCTTTCCCTCTGCCATCAGACTCCTAAACAGCTGAGGAGTTTATTACCAGGAAATACGTCATGTACTGTTTACATTCTCTGTTTGCACATGCATAATTGCACAATGACTGTTGACTGCTGCACATGCTGCTCCCATGCAGCATACATTCTGTTATATTCTTATATATTTTTTATTATATTGCTGCATCTGTTGCTGTTTAAAGTGTCTTAGATTTTGTGTTACTTATTTATCTACTTTATATTTCATTTGTATTTTGTGGCATTCATGGCAAAGTAAGAATTTCATTGTACAGGGAAATACGTTTCCTAACTGTGCATAACACTTTGAACTATATTAATTTATATTTATTCACATTTTATTATTCTACTACAGCATAATGTTTTAGATTTTTTGAGGTTTTTGATTACAAACACAAGATTAATTGCAGCACATTGTGTAATATCCCAGCATAGTTATCGGAGATCTGAGCTTATGTTTGAAGGCATCACAAACATTTCAATACACCTAAGGTCATAGGCAATACAACCAAAGGTAGGAAAAGAGACTCCTGGGGAAACAGGAAAGAAGAAAGAATAATTAGTAGATGAGATCGGGACATACAGTATTAAACAGCACCATGAAACTTATCAGTAAACATCCAGCAGGAAATTGTGATCAATGTCAACAGCCAGAGACAGTCAATGTAGCAGGTATACAAAGGAGAGACTGAGAGACCAATGCAAGGTGTCTAGAAAAGAAAAGAAATAATAAATAGTATGGACATCAGGGAGTTACTAACAACCATAACAGGAAGCATAGCTGTGCTTAATTTCTTAAAAAGGACTGGAGTTATTGATAGGATACAGAGGATAAGGTCCAGTTCGATCCATAGTCCACCAGAATAGATACATCTCTAAAGTAATGTATTAACTGTACAGAAGGGGCGCTAATGGAACAATCCCTGGATTGCCAATGCGCCATAAAAAACCCAAAGACGAGGAAGAAGAAGAGGAGGAAGAAGAAGAACGAGAACACACCTACGGATAATTTGGAAGAAGAATTACAACTAACTTGTAAAGACACCTATGTTGTCTTTTGCGGGCGTTTCCAGGTAGGTCACTGTCCGATGTGCTAATGGTCTGCAGCCTACTTTCTGTTACTTTTTCTGAATGACAGCCTTTTCGCTGTGTAAGTGTTCCCAAAGGCCACCGGTGGAAGAGAACGAGTGCAAGCAGCTTAAAGGGAGAGCTTTACGACAAAGCTCGGACTAGTTGCAGCGACAACGTAGACACAGCCTGCGGTGTGCCATGTCAGTTCAGTAAAGTTAAAGTACAGGAGGGCTGTATCACTTCATGGAAGTAAATGGAAGTGATAATAAGCACAGAATGCAGCAGAGCAGTTCACACCAGACATCCTGACAGTATGTCCGGGATGAAGGAGTTGGGAAACACGGAATTCCTCCTGACTGTTGTCTGATCCACAGCTGCAAGAAGCGCTCGAATTGTTGACTTAAGTAAAAGTTAACAATACCACAGTGTAAAAATACTTTGGTGCATATAAACGTCCTGCATTCAAAATGTGAATGTTACTTAAATAAAAGTACTGGGATCAAAATCTACTTAAAGTACCAAAAGTAAAATGACCCATTATGCAGAATAGCACATTTTATATTGATGTAGGTCATTTTGGGATCACAGGCTAATTAGTGTGTGCATAACATTTAATGTGGCAGCTGGTAATGGTGTAGTTCGTTTTAACTACTTTATATGCTCATAATGTGAAGTACTGAATTCCTCCAGGGATCAATAAGGTCTAATGATTTTACTGTATTTTCTATTGCTTACCTGTTTCTGAAAAGTAACTAGTAACTAAAGTGATCAAATAAATGTAATGGAGTAAAAAATGTAGTGAAGTCTGAGTATGAAGTAGAAAATGAAACTATTCAAGTGAAACACAGATACCCCAAACATGTACTTGAGTAGATATACTTTGCTACTTTCTACCAAGGCTGTCACTTTTTCCACCAGGGCTGTGGATGTTTAATATGTGTGTTCATTAAAGACACCAAATATTATCATTTTGTATTTTGTCTATATACACTTGTGACACAGGTAATCATTTATTACCAGTTAATGCAGAAAACCCGATAGTTTTTACAGGTTCACATACTTTTTCTAGCCATGTATTGTAGCACTGAATTGTGTCAATATATAGGACATGGAGTATACATTCCCAGATCTAGAGTTTACTGATGCTTGTAGGCCATTTCCTTTGTTGAGACTGTAATACATCAGTAGGTGATGCCAGTTTCCTTACGTGTAGTCGTTGAAGTATAATTTCCTTCTCAGTTTGTGTTGATACTTTGGATGGAAAAAGCCAGATTTAAAAGAAAAGTAAACAACAGATTTTTTGTGGAGAACAAGCATTTGACTTTGCACCTTGGCAGCTGATGTGCGTTCTTTACCTGTTGGGAATGGGTTTATTTATTTTTTTTGCCACAAGAGCACATAACAAATATAAATAAAAACCCGACAAAAAGATAAGTAAAAAAAGCAAAGTAAGCGTCAGATATGGCTAAAAATGTATTATGTTCTCAGCAAATATTTTTCTGTTTCTTTTTTCTTCCCTACAGATGACATTACATGGTATCCATGCCCACTGCAGATACTCTCAGGAACTTTGAAATGGTCACAGAGTAATTTATATTCAGCTTTTCTTTTCTCAGCGTAAACAATTCTAACTTGTAAGTAACAGCCAAAAAAAAACAAAAAAAACCCCAAACATGTTTCACTTAATTAAGAAAGACAAGGAGAAGGAAAAGGACTTGGCTAAGAAGGAGAAAAAAGACAAGAAAGAAAAGCGAGAGCGTATGTCCCAGGCAGAGTTAAAAAGCCTGGAAGAGATGAGCATACGTAGAGGCTTCTTCAATCTCAATCGAGGTAGCTCCAAGAGGGAATCGAGGAACAAGCTGGAGATCTCTAGTCCTATCCCAATTAAGGTGCCGAGCAGCACAGAGCTCTCCCTGACAGACCTGCAGACTGAGCGCCATCATCACACCCTGGAGCAGGATGTGGGGCAAGTGAGTGCAAGTACCTCTAGTGAAGATATGAAGGAAAATGAACTGGAACCTCATCGCACCTCTGTAAAGGAGAGAGCAGCTAAGTTTGGAGAGCTGGCCAAGTTGGGTTCAGGGATAGGCCAAATGCATGTGTCTCATCCTCAGAGGAGCAAAGAGGACAATGCTTTGGTGGCTTCAGATCTTTCTGGGCAGAACTGGACTACATCATCTTCAAACCTTCACCCCAACCCAAAAGGCCCCAGCATGGTTCAGATTCCTGAGATGGTGGAGAAGACCTTTCCTGGTGCAAGCCTGCAGTTGCCCATGCTTGTTGCTCCACCAATACCAGATCAAAGAGAACTTGAGCTACAGCGGCGCAACACCGGGGATTTTGGCTTCTCTCTGCGCAGGACCACCCTGTTGGACAGGCAGCCAGATGGAGGAGTGTGTCGGCGTGTGGTACACTTTGCTGAACCAGGTGCCGGTTCCAAGGACCGGGCTCTGGGCCTGGTGCCAGGAGACAGGCTGGTGGAAATAAATGGGATCAATGTGGAGAACAAGAACAGGGATGAGATCGTGGAGATGATTCGTCAGTCTGGAGAATCGGTCCGGCTGAAGGTGCAGCCGATTTTGGAGCTGAGTGAGTTGAACCGCAGCTGGCTGAGGACTACACAAGGCCTGCACAAAGAAGCCTTTGAAGTAAGTTCTTTTGAATCATTATCAAACTTGAACTTGACGTCACAAATTCCACATTCTGTGTTTCTTCAGTGCCAGTCTCTGCAAGTGCCTCTCAAAATGCCGCTTTCTTGTTTCTGGTGATTTCACTTTAGATCATGATACAGTTTTAGAGTGTGGAAATTATTCTCCATTATTCTCCACTGAGAAGCACAGTTTGCATCCTAGTGTTTCTGGATCTGTGGTATTTAGTTTTCTTTATGTACACTTGGGGTAAAAGTTATCACTGGTTATATGTGGCACTATTTTGCCATCATTTAGTGGACTAAAAATCTATGAAATGTATGACGCTAGTAATGTTTTTTGTGTTTTTACATATGGGGAGAGAGCATGTGTTCTGCTGTCTGTGTGTATATACAATCCTCCCTTCCTCCCCCTAGTCCTTTGACACTAAACAATGGGATTCTGAAGGAAACAATGGCCCAGACGCCAAGAGCTCGTGGCCATATGGTCTTGTAAGACTTGGCTGGCAGCTGATTCTTTTTTTTGCTTGGTTAATTTTGTGCATCACGTAGAGGAACATCAAGTTAAACTCTTTGTGTCAGCCAAAACATTGGCTTAGATTAGGGCTGGAAAGTATACTGTGATTCCTCAAATAACAGTTATGTTTTTACAGTGTTTTTTATATAAATAGCCTTCAGTGTGTAATGCTGATTTTATTCTGTAATCAAAAATAACAGTTACGGGCCATTTTATCAGATGGCCAGCATTGCCGGCAGTGGGAGTTTAATTTGCTTCCATCAGGAAGGAGCTTCTATCTTCCGAGAGGCATTACAAATAGATATATGTGCAATGATGCTCCTTGGTTGTAAAGTTGTTGTTTTTTTTTTTTAAATAGCGTTCAGTGTTCAAGGTTGGTAACAATTAATTAATGGCACTGTGGTGTGTTGTATGTACACTGTCCCTTTTAATGCTGTATTTTTGTTCTGTGCCATCTACGTTTTTGACTGCTGTCTGTAAACCAGTTTGTCTCTGTGGGGGATATTAAGCCTTACTCAACCCTACACTAAGAGGACTAGTGTATCTATATCACCTCACAGTAGTGTCATTTCACACCTACTGTCAGATGTCATTGAACCCTGGATGTTAAAATCTTATAATAAGATATAGTATTGTGCCTGATGAACGGCCATTTTAGTGACTATATTTTAATAAAAAAAAAAAAAAAGGCTCAAATAGTAAAAAAAACAAATTCCTTTTGACAGCACCACATTGGGCCAGTTGTCACATACGGCTTTATTCAGAATAATATTGTCTAAGAAAGTCAGTCAATTAACATCTGTCAAACAAATATGTCGTTTTTTGTGTAATGACGGAGGTTGCTGCTATTCTTTCGGAGCGTTGAAGCGAGAGTCAGATTTGTTTGGCTGAGTATGGAATTTCAGTGCTTTCCCCAGGCTGTGGGGCCACAACTGGAATGTTGTTTTGGCCAGGAAATATGTTGTACAAAGTGCACTGTACATGGCTGGTAAACAGGAACTGGAGACATTACAGCAGTGACAACAGAGAAGCTAACAACACCAGGGTCATTTTGTGACTCTCTCCAACTGACATTTACCCATGAAAATATCATGAGTTACATTGGACTGTGCAAATGAATGTGTGCACAGCCAGCGACACAGTGCATGTGCTGCCCTATGGGAGCTGCTTGTCAACCTTGTCTTACTTTGTGCTACATTTAGCTGATCTTGATGATCATCATTAGACAGCCTGTATGGAAAAACAGAAAATGTGACTGTGAGGCTGACCTAGAACCAACAGCGCTATTTATAGGTGGCTCTAATAGGATCTGGATACTAGATCTAAAGCCCTGCAAAACATAGTTCAACATTCTGGCAAATATGCTTATTCACTTTCTTGCCAAGAGTTAGAAAAGAAGTACGAAACCACCCTTATGCCTGAAGCTGCATCCAGGGCACTTCTAGCTTAGCTTAGCGTAAATACTGAAAGGAAGAGGAAATCCACCCATCAACACCTCTAAAATGCTCAAAATGACACTATATATTTGGATGGGTGACATATTAAAGGAAAACTAAGAAGTGTTTTACTAAGGTGTTGGGCCATCATGTGCCACCAGAACGGCTTCAGTGCACCATGCCATAGACTCTACAAGTCTCTGAACTTTCCTCGACGGTTGAACACCATTTTTCCAAAAGATATTCTCTCATGTGGTGGTGGAGACACTGTCCAACACGTCAGTCCTAACAGGTATTCAACTGGGTTGACATTTGGTGACTGTGAAGGCCATAGCACATGATTTGCATCGTTTTCCTGCTCATCAAACTATCCAGTGACCCCTCATGTCCTGTGGATGGGGCCACTGTCATCCTGTAAGAGACTACTCAGTTATTCAGGTTTTTCCTTTAGTTGGTTACTTGTTTGTTGTTTTTTTTTTTTAGTTTCCCCCCCCTCTGTTCAAATTTTAAGTTGTTTTTGGGGCATTTTGTCCTGTATTTATTAGGTTGTCACAGAGAGGTGGACAGGAAACGGCAGACGGAGGGAGAGACCTGAGATTCATATCTCCCATCTCAGCTTTTTTCGTTTTAACAGAGTGAAGAACTAAAGGGGGAGTAACTGCTCTAAACAAGGTGCAAACAAAATGTCTGCTTATACAGTTCTATCTGTTCAGTTTGTATATGAGCAGGTGTACACTGTGTAAGTAGGTCTGTGATCCTCTGTGGCTGCTTATTGTTGTCTTACAGACATCCTGGGGGGTGGGGTGTGTGCCCTGTGGGCTCTGCTAGACAGTTTTCCAGCTGGTTGAGTTAAATCGATTGGTCAGAGGTATTCTGAAACCAAGCTGTGTTGCCATTTTTGCAGAGCACTTTCATTGTCTGTGTTACCTAAAGGAGACTGTTCCTTGAACTGGATATTTCTTCATGAACATCATATTTAATCATGAGCACCTGACATCTATAACCTACGATTTTACTTCTTAATCTCCTCCATTTGAAATAGTCTATTTGGCTGAATACCATTTTGTAGTTCATGAATATTTAATCAGATAAGCAGTTAGCACCACTTTTAATTTCTGAAACAGTTTAAATATGATGACATAATAGCATAAAAAAGCAGATCCAGGTAATATTTAAAAAGTATCTCAGGCTATACTTGGCTGTCTGTTAGTATTTAATAAAAATGAGACCCTGAATACCAGGGTGGCCAAAGGCTGGCCCGTTGTTGATCAGAGTTTGCCAGATGTTTCATCTAATATCTGTGTATCACTGAACCCGCGTAACATTTCCTGTACAGTTGTGGCCAAAAATATTGGCACCCCTGCATTTCTGTCAGATAATGTACCATTTCTCCTAGAAAAGTTGTTGCAGTCAGAAATTCTTTGGTATGCTCATGTTTATTTATTTTATTTGCATTGGAACAACACAAAGCAGAGAAAAATAAGGCCAAATCTGATCCATTCCACACAGAACTCCAAAAATCGACTGGACAGAATTATTGACACCCTCAACTTAATATTTGGTTGCACAACCTCTGGACAAAATGACTGAAATCTGTCGCTTTCTGTAACCATCAGTGAGTTTCTTACAACTCTACTGAAATTCTGGATCACTCTTCTTTTGCCAGCTGCTCCAGGTCCAGCTGCTGTTTTCAGATCTCTCCACAGCTGCTCTATGGGATTTAGATCAGGACTCATTGGTGGGTACTACCAAACTCTCCAGCACATTGTCTAAAACCATTTCTGGTGCTTTTTGAAGTCTGCTTTGGGTCATTGTCCTGCTGTAAGACCCATGACCTCTAACGGAGACCCCCATGCTCCGGCTTCCTCCCACAGTCCGAAGACAGGAATCTTAGGTTGATTGGTGACTCTAAAATGCCTGTAGGAGTGAGTGTGTGTTTTTGTCTGGCTCTGAGTGTCAGCCCTGTGATTGACTGTGTACCCTGCCTCTCGCCCAGTGTCAGCTGGGATTGACTCCAGCAGCTCCCCCTGTGACCCTGTTCAGGCTAAGTGGTATAGATAATGGATGGATGGTCAATAATTCTGTCCAGTTCTTTGTGGAGCGTATCACATTTAGCTTTTTTGTGTTGTCCCAATGCAAACAAAACAAATAAAACATGAGCATACCAAAGAATTTATGACTGCAACAATTTTCTAGGAGAAATGGTGCATTATCTGACAGAAATGCAGGGGTGCCAATATTTTTGGCCATATCTGTCTGCAGCCCAGACACACTTTTATCACTGTGAAATTAGCACATGGCCAAATTGTGTCATGTCATATCCATTTCCACTGGGGACGTGTTAGTATTAGCACAGGCATGGATTAGAAAGAGGTGGGGCTTCCAAGCATAAAGCTGTTTGGTTTATGATAAAGGCTGCACTTAAGATGTCATTGTTCCTTCTCTCCATTCTTTACATGTATTTAATAGTTTATAGTGAAATACTTTTCTGCCCTGTCAGTTAGTGGCAGACGTTTCAGACCCTCATGGTCTTAATTTTGTCATCTGAAATGAATAGCTGTGATTACGTTGCAGTTTGACACAGTAAAGCAGACATACTTGAAATTCTTGGGTGTGTACCTTATACCATATCTGTTAGTCGGTGGAGCATAGACGCTTCACAGACGCACTGTGATCTTGTCAGCCTTAAGCAAGTAACCACTTTAACTGAGAATCCTTATTTGCTTCATGATGCTTTTATTGTTGTCAT